GAAGAGTGATGCGTTTCTAATTTGATTAGCAAATTTATATATTTATTAATATATGATTAATTTTTGTGAATGAGATTAAATTTGCAAATGAAGAACTTAAAAAGCCATTATTTATCCCAAAGCATGTTTTGTCATTTTTTTATCAAATTAGAAACACTGGCCAAATTTGGGTAATAAGCCTGAAAATATTAATACTTATATTGACTATTACTGCCAAATCAAAAAAATGGTTCTAATATTGCCAACGACTAAAAGATACTGGCTATATTTAATTTAGTCATCTATTTTTGTTGATTTTTCTTTATTTAGAAGTTTACAAATACAGTCAAAAAAATAACACAAATATTCATATCCATAAATAAATATTAAATCTATATATATATAATAAGAATTAACATTTTTTAAAAATAGTAAGCAAAAAAATAGGGAATATTAATTGCATTCTATTTTTGGTATGTTTTTTTAATTTTTTTAATAAAAAATCAAGTAGCATTTAATGTTAGCACAAATCATGAGATTTGTTATATAGATGCATATTTGAATTTCAAACTTCAAACAAAACATGCCTAAATGTATTTGAATTTTTTAGGAAAAAAATTTAACAAACACGTTAAAGATGTCATACAATACATATATTTATATATATTATCTTAACATATAGGTTAATTAGTTTCATATCTCAACAATATATATTTAAACAATATATAAACAAATATAATAATTTATCGTACAATACAGACAAATATATAAACAATATATTTATATACAAATATAATAAACAATACAAACAAATATACAAATAATATATAAACAAATATAAGAACTTGTCACGTGTATATTTCGTACAATACATATATTTGTATATATTATCTTAACATATAAGTTAATTAGTTTCATATCTAAACAATATATATTTTAGGAACTTAAAGATTCATAACATTACTGACATCATGTATATTTATAATATATTGTCACGTACATTTTACTACAATTGGTAACTTTTTTAAATTTATTTGAATAACTGGAGGTTTATTTGTAATTTGAATTTCAAATTCATTCAAACATTTAAAAGAAAATATCATAAGCAGATTTTTTTTTATACATTTTATTTTATCTCAACTTACATATAATCACGTTCCTACCTAACATTAAATTTGCTTATATCTTTTTAAATTAATTACATCACTAAATAATATTAATATACATTACATATTTATCATTATATAACAAATATATTACTTCTACAAGTGTTATAAATAATAATGACATTATATGATAATAGATTTTTTGATAGATTAATAATTGAGTATTATGATGAACCAAAATATGTAAAATTATTATTATTTTGTACTAAAAAATAAATATATATGTTAAAATATTATTTATAATAATATATTGGTTCATCATGCTATTACAATAAATTTTATAATAAAATAATATGAATATTATACAAGGAACAAGATTACGTAAAATTGTTATTTTTCTTATACCAAAGAATAAATATATATAATGAAATTAAATTTATATTATTATAAACATGTGAGCGAGATAATCTATTAATTAATTTACGGTCTAGCGCTACCACTACCAGGCTCAGGTTTAATGTCTCCGACAAAAAAGATGACGTTGATGAAAGAGGTAAAAAAATAGATGATCAAACTCTGTTACTTTTTTAGGCCTTAACTGACAAGCCCTATTGTCCACTCATTTAATATCTCCCGTGAATCACACGAGCTACTTAATAGACAAACTCTGTGGAAATGACTCATTTAATATTTATATCCCGTGCATCGCACGGGCTACGTACTAGTAGAAACCAATAATATTTAGTAATCGTTATAAACCGATTCTGTCTTCCGAAATTTGGTCCCACTAAACAAACAAAATCAGTTTGGAAATAACCTAATACTAAATACTTCAATATCTAGAACTAACTTGAAGGTCACTTGAGAACAAAAGAGGAGCAAGTTTTAAAGATACCCGCAAAAGCCAAAAAAGTGTAATGGTGATAAACCAATGGGCAGACAATGAATAAGAAAACTGTATGTGGAACATTCATTACTATGACCAATTTCATACAAGATATATTTGTTATGGATGACAATCAGATGGAAAAACTACTTTCCATTAGCAATTCCAATAAGAAAAAGAATTTATTACAGTGCCATTCAGATCCATAGCTGTCAAACCTCACCTTCCACCTGAAGCATCTTGCGTTTCTCGGCTTCGAGTTTCCTCAAGGCTGTAGAACTCAATTTGTTTCCACTAGATTCTTCAGGTACTAAATCAACAATTTCAATCTGCACATTTTTTCAACCCAATTTCATATTTAACCAAAAAAAAAAAAAAAAAAAAAAAAAAAGAAGAGTAAAAAAATGGGTTTATAGAGAGTCAAAAGGAAAATATCCTTCATGCAGATTGGATGTGTCATACCTTTAGCTGTGAGAGACCTCTCTCGGCCCTCTTCTTATTAACAGATAATCCCCCAGCAAATGTCTCCTTACTATCAAACAAACAACTCTTGTTATAGCTATCACATAATAGTTGAACATTTATATTTGTAAGTGCACATAATTCACCTTAGGTGAGTTGAACTGATAAATTTACTTACAAAACCAAGAGGGATCTTATTATGATATATAACTTATTTCCTATATTTTAATAATCAATACTACCTGGGGTTATATCACAAAAGTTTCAGTTACTTCCAAGCTTTTATTATAATGTCCCATGAACTGATAAATTTCGCTTTCATGCTTTTCCTTTCTTCTAGCAGTATTATCTTACAGAATCATTTTGAATAGGTAGCTTGTTTGTAATACTATGGATCCTCTATAGAAGTCTTAAGAGACTTCTGTAGCTTTCTGAGAATTTAATTAAACAGACATCTGTCTCAGTACGAGAGTTTAGAAGGCTACAAGAAGTAAGAAACAAATGTGACTTTCAAAATTATAAAAGTACCCTGATATTTCTTCCACCTTACATTTAGCCATTTTATAAGCAAAAAAATATTTCAGAAACCCCCTTCACATTTATAAGAGAATATTACAGTTAGCCCCTTAATTAAATTGAATCAAACCAAATTTTACCTTGTGTAATCTAAATTTATAGCTGGGTTGTTCTACTTAGAAGCTTGAACATCATGGGTACTTCTTATGGATATCTCTTGAAAGAATTCACATATGGGCGGGGCATCACATTATAATCTCCGGAATGAAAGAAGAAGATATGAATGAAAGCAAAGTAGTATAAAGAGACACAATTGGAGAGGCTAATATCAAGAGGATTGCACCTATAAATAGTAATTGAAGGAAAAATATCAGATGACTGAAGTAATTTCTGAGGAAGTGTACTGACCTTACAACAATAGCCTCCAAATTGTTATCGATAATTGACGGACCATAAGGATCCACAATTGGTTCTGCTTGCACAACCAACTCTGGCTTCACATACTACAGTGGAAAAACAAGGAACATAGTTAAATGTTATCTTCATGACTATTGACCGTACAAGATAGAAAATTCAGCAGTCCAAATAAAGAAGACTAAATTAGTCATCCAGCATAATTTTTTATTAAGAAACAGTTAAAAACAAAATGGCAATGCTTGACCCTTTCTCATCTTCACAAAACGCTAATGCTCTACAGTTAAATAGTAAGGAACATTAAAATAAACCAAAAGCTCAATTAAGAGAACGACTACCATGTGAGTTGGGTTGGAACTACTACAAAAAGAGAAAGAAATACAGGAAGCATCAGCCAAATGGCATGTACCTTAATGTACTCTTCAACGTTTTTCATTCTTTGCTCAATTGGCTCTATCAAATCAGAATACTGCACGGAAAACAAAAAGAAGGGTTCAAAAACATCATATTTTCCAAATTTCAATAGAACATAATTATAAGATGCAAGAAAATTTAACATGTTAAAATTTAACCGGGCATGAGAAATCAGAAATATTATTCAACTTAATGTAGCTCTACATTTTCAAGTCTTATACATAGTGAACTTGAAAATGCTCATCCATTTCTTGCATTCCAGAGTACTAAAGGCTATAGAAATTGTCTGAAAATCAAGGACGATTCTTCACATGATTAAAGAAATACTATTCTTAACAAGTCGACTCAGCAGGTATAAATAAGCAAGTCTTAACTAAAACAGACTGACATCAATAGATTCATCTATACCGCAAACTGGACGAATATTGAATCACTCAGACTTCACACAGATAACTAATTTTTTTCATACCTGCACATACATATATATATATATATATATATATATATATATATATATTATAAACATATAACTGAAAAAAGATGAAAAGAAAAGAAAACAAAAGAGAAGAAAAGAAAAAGGAACACGAGTAGTTCCATTCTACCTTAGTAACTACACAGATATGTCTCGATATTCATTGCAAATTCCACGAAATTAAGTATTAAGCACAGTAATTAGGCTCTTCTCTATTTTTATGAGAAACTACAAACTCAAAACAACTTTTGCCTTCTCTAATACTTGCTCTGTTCCTCCTGAGAATGTGTTAGTTGTTTGGCAAATTCGACAACTAATTTGGTTTTGAAATCTTAATATTGTGAACAAATACTTGAAATACTGCCCAAATAAGTGTCTTGCCTACTTTCTAACACTAATAACCATCAAATAAAATCTTGCCTTTTCCCTTTTCTTCTTCTAAGAAAAATCATGAAATTGTCAAGCCAATTATATTCCGCAAGACTAACAACTCAGGTAATCCGCTTCCTCAGTCTTTATCATATCTCTATAAATAGTACTGCACATAAGAACTCTTCTACCTATCTTTTGGGAAAGAAACAATGAACGGATGAAGCCACGATATATACCAGACTATTGTATTGATAAACAGCTACTCATTTTCATCCCCTTTTTCAGCTACACAAATAAGAAATCTTTTCCATTCTTTCCTATTTTGGAGGGAAAAATGAATTGATAGAAATATGATGCATCGAAGAGGTCAAGGGTCCCCTTTCCGAATTTGGAGATCACAAATTTTGTATAGGACAATCTAATTTCAAGCAACCCAATCAAGTTCCAATACATATCCCAAACACATAGTGATCTTTAACAGGATACAGCGGGGCAACCATTGGACAAAACAAAAATTAACAAGAAAAATCATGTCTGCCCAGGCATAAATAAACACATCACTCCTAACACATCTGACCTTCATAAGCTTGTCCTCACGAATTAAATGCCCTCACTGAAGAAGAAGAGAAAAAAAAAAGATATTACAACCACTTGACAAGACAAAATTAACTAGTCATCACCTGTTTATTAGCGAGCATGGGGCCATCGCAAACACCAACCACGATTCGATCCCTCGCCACCGCAGCCGCAGCCTGCAAAATTATGAGACTATCATCGGAAGATCATTGAATAAAATACGCAGACAGCCGCCCCCCACGGACCTTGAGGAATTGGCGATGGCCGTCATGCAAGCGGTCGAAGGTGCCACCGAGAACCACCGAGCCGTACGAATCAGGCGGTAATAGGATTGAATTAGGACCTGAATTATCATTCGTACTAGTCATTTTACTTTTGGACTTAAAGGTTGGAGTTTATGGCTGGCTTGAAACTGGGCACACGGAACTTGCGAACGACGTGGCCTTACTCGAAAAGACTCCCGGCCTCCGCTGTTGTACGTCGGCTGATGGAGGATCGCCTAAAAGAGCCGCTGCTGCTCGCTAGACCGCCGGCGAGCAGCACCCGGGGCGCGCGGCTGTGGAGGTTCTCTTCTCCGCCAGGACTCGAAGGGGACGGCCGATCAAGTTCCTGCTCGTTTTCTCCAGCGAAGGGCTGCTAATTGATATGGGTGGTCGCGGCCGCTGCTGGTCGGAAAAAGGAACCGACGGGACGGAAAATTCGAACAGGGGCTATATAACCTGCTCGACGGGAATTGACGAGACCCCAGATGCGCCGGACGAACGGTCGGAACCTACTTTCCTCGGCTCAGAGATGGTGAGAAGGGACGATCGTCGCTGCTTGTTGAAGGTCGCCGACGAGAATTTATCTCGGCTTGTTCGTCGGCGGTGCTGCTCGCGAATGAACGAGGAGCCTTCTATTCGCCGGCGATGGAAATTCGTGGTTGGGGAAAGGCTGCGACGGGATACTGAGAGGGAGGATCGATGGATGTCGGGAGAGGGCGTGGTCTGATCGGTGTTTGGGCGTGAATAGCTGCTTTGAAAAATCTGATCGAACAATGGAGATGATGAGGCGTGAATAAGGGTTTGATGTGCTATGGGCTGAGACATTAAGGTCATGGGCCGAGAATTCCACTGCAATTGGGCCAAAAATCAGCTTAATGGGCTTAACCGGAATCACGCCGGTCGTCGTGGGATGGTCGTCGGAGGTCGCTGGTCACTCCCAATACATCCAATTTGTACAATTTTGTCTTTTCGTTAAGAACATACAACCCCGACATCTTATCCGATTATCTTGGTGGGTGAACAGATAGCTGCGTCACGTAAATAATATGTGCAAACTTAGTCTCTTAATTCCAAGAGATGTGATGTATTTATAGGCTACATGACCCTAAGGAGGTATTAAATTGGGCTTCTCCTATTTTGATTATACTATAGGCTAAGTCTACCAAACTCAAATAGGAATAATCCGTACATTCCACTAAAGTAGTATTATTGAATAAACTCCCAATTTAATTCTCGAACTATATTCGAGTCTCGAATAATAATTACTCGATTTACCTCTCCGTGTTTAAGATATAATGTCTATCAATTAATTTAATTCTTGACAATTAAATTAATCGACATCGATAACCGAGACTAGTACCACTCATCACATCATTGTTATGTCGGGATAAATTCCACTAGCCAGATTTAACATAATAATCCTTCATGAGCTCATCTCGGGGACATCATCCAACTAACGCACACGGTGACCGTAAATATTCTAACAGCACATCGTACATACAATAATATTACCCAAAACATTAAGTATATTGATCCAATAAATTGAATTTCACCAAAGTGAATCAAAGTAATATTAATTGTATGCACATGGTTATTTATATCTTACGGGTTTAGAGTAGGCAGTAATTAACCGGGGCCTAGTTCGTTTACAACTATCAGTATAAAACGAACCTCTCCTCTATGGAACTTGTTCAATGCACAAAGTATACTAGTGTAACTAATTAGTCAAGGCTAACTGTATGGTTAACACTACAACCGTTCGGATGAGGTTTTTATTTCCATCTAGATTGTGAACCAACGATTCTTGTTTCGCAAGTAACTGATAGAATGATCTTCTGTTTGCCCGATGACGACCCATTCTATCTAAGTGCAAAACAACAGAACATAGACTGTTTAATTAAATATGATTCTCATTCAAACGGGTTAAGTGTAAATACATCTAAAACCAACCTTTCAGTAGGCGGAATGTGAGTATGAGAAAAACTGTAATCTTTGTTCTTCAACGATCAAAATATGTAATTTTCAATGTCGTTTAAAAGATTAAAAATTAAGTTTTTTTTTTCAAAGAAGTTGATCTCATACATATCCAAAATTTAAATTATGATAAATAANAATTCTACCATTAAATTTTCATAAGACTCGTCTCGTTTGAAATTATCACTTAGTAAGATTTTTCTCATAAATTTTTTCTCAAATATTTTATTGTTTACATGTTTTTTTTTCAATAATAGAATGGCTAGAGGTGTAGATAGTTGAAGAACATAAACGTTGAACTTAAATAAGGATATAATAGTAGTTTTAAATAATTGAGTTAAATCAAACTTTTAGAATATTAAATGATCGGTTTTATTAAAAAAAATTAAAAAATTAATTCATAAGAGTGATGTGTTTCTAATTTGATTAATAAATTTACATATTTGTTAATATATAATCAATTTTTGTGAATCAAATTAAATTTGCAAATGAAAAACTTGAAAGACTAAGGGCACATTTGGTTTCCTAGACAGGATTAGATTATTTTAATTTGTAGAGCCTGATTATACTGTTTAGATTAAAGAAATCCATTGTTTGTTATGCATGATTTATGTTTTCGATAAAATTGAAAATAAGTTCAACCTACATTTGTTTTGCATGATAGGAATTACATTACGGTGTATATTGACTAAATTGCCCTTGTTTTAGGGGTCAAATTATAACATTATTGTTGGTGATTTTTTTAATTTCTTTCCCTGCGTGTGGGAGCCAGAAAATTCTTTCTCTTCCGTTGAGCTTCTTCAGAAATTTGGGGACGGCAGAGCACGACGGGGTCATCTATTAGCAAACAATTTGAAGAAATTGTGTTCTTGGTGGTGCGTCCTCCTATTTGCAATTTCACTCATCCAGTTTGCCCTAATAATCATTTTTTTCGTTTATTTTTTTAATCGTTCTTCATTACTGGCAAGATCTATAATATTTTCAATGTTGTAATTCAATACTGTCATAATTGGATCTTTGAACACTGTTTTCAATCTTTTCCACTGCTTCGAAAAGCCTATTCAATGGAATCTTCAGACGATGTCGATTAACCTGCAAATTTGAAGATTTTATTCTCTGACTCCAATTGCTTTTTTGCTGTTTGTTGGAATAATGACAGTTCCGCTTTTCCAGCTTCCGTGTTTGGATTTAATTTTTCTCTGAAACAATTTCCTCAACAGTGTGTATATATATATATACCCCATGCCATATTCATTACTCCATTAACAAAAGTGAGGGAGTACACATTTCTTATAAACCAACCAACAACATGCCTCGTCTGTCCGCGGCAATAACACAAGATGAGTGCTTGTACGATGACCGCTGGACAAAAGAAGCCAACAATCTTTTTATTGACCTTCTAATGGAGGCAAATTCTGTGGGTGATTGGAAATATGGGAGACCCGCTAACTCAGTTTTTGATTACTGCAGGTTGGGCATCAAGGCAGCATTGGACCTAAACTTTAGCCTTTGTGATGTTGAGTTGCGGTTTGATTTTCTCCACAAACGTTATAGTGTTTTCAGTTGGATGCTTCGCAAACACGGCTTACGGCATTGTGTGAAATCAAACGTCTTGACGGCACCCGTGGCTGTTTGGGATGACATATTCGAGGTATTACTAATGAATCTGAGTTATGCATTGTTGGTTTTCTGTCTTAATTGGACATTCCAAAAAATGTTTAAAACTGAAAGCACAATAAACCTTTCGATATGGAATGTGGTTAAAGCTCTATGGCCAATGTTCTGAAATTGTTCTCAGGTAGTGGACTGTGGATTACTTGTTTACTCATCAAAGCATTAGTTGGACTAGTTGAAATTTTTATTCACTTCAATTGATGTTCACTGAAATTGTTATTCTTCTTGGTTTTGTGTTTTGTTAGTCCAACTCATTCAGTGTGGCCTATCAACATTGTGGCGATCCTCGTTGGAATGAGCTTAAGTTTTTTTTTTCTCTTCGATATATCTGGCCTCCTCAGACTGTGCAATTTTTCCAGACTTCCATTCCACTAATGAACATGTTGTCCCCGCGTTGATTGACACATCAGACCTCTTGTCTGAACCATCAAACAATAATGTTGTCATTCAATGTCCCACGGCAAACAGTTTTAACCGAGGTATGGGGCCGCGGGAACGAGATGTGTCTTCCGAGTGCTCAGTAAATACTCAGTCATACTTTTTGAATCCAACACGTGGGAGTCTAACCCCTATGCGCATTCCTCGCCCTCCTCGTAAAAGTGCTCCTTCGTCGTGCAAGGGGTCTTCTAGCGATCCGCGCATTTGATGACTCTAACTTATCCTAAGATTTTATTGTTCATCGTATTTGGTCGAAGCGTTGTACGTTGTTGAAGTTGGTGTTATTTGGTTATTACCGATGTTATGTGAACAACAGTTGTTTTTCTTGTTTTTTTTTTTCCCGTAATTTATGTAGTATGAATGCTTGTTCAAGTGTGTACCTTCAATTTACTATATTTTGTTATGGTGATTGATGAACTTCTAAAAATTTAGATTACTCTTCTGCTAAAAATTCACATGAGATGAATGACAATGACTTTCAATACCGGGTCACATTTCTTGAACTTTGTACAACTTCATTTGATGAGGCCGAATTAGTGACAATATTCTGGCAAAATAAAACACAGCACTTGAGTGGCATCATAGAGCCCAAGATGCATATAGCACACAATATATAGTGTCACATAGTTACAGAATCCAAGTACAACACTGAAGTTTACCTTCCCGTTATATCAAAAGACACCCGTTTACAGCAACAGGTCTACAAAAGTAGCAACAAAATACAGCCCTGTGTCTCATCACACATTGAGGCAGATAATTATATATATTACTTATGATGAAATGACCACAAAGAAGCACAAAAGACAAAAGGAAGTGGTCATCATGTCCCAATATAACCGTGTCACTAGTCTGACTGGACGCACGACTCAGCATCGCTATCCACCTCCATTCCCTCACCGACAATGGCATCGGCGACATCCACTGCTACTGGTGCTTCTTCGACATGTTCTTCGTCTTCGTCAATCGGAAGTTACTCCATATCGTCATCGTCGGTATCGTCAACTGACTCGATATCGTCCACATTAATGAGCTCGTGATTCGCTGTTCCCGGACCTCCCTCCATTTCAATCTCTGCAGCCGTACGTTCGTCGAACACCTCGACGCACGCGTTGTACCAACGGAATCCATTCCAGCGAAAAAACACCTCATGGTCAGTTTCCTAAACATTAATTCATGAAATATGACTGATATGCATATTATAAATAACAAAGTTTAGAGGTTTTTTTAATATAGAAATTAATGGCCATTCATTACCTCTCCGACGTACTGCCAATATGACTTATCAACACTAACTAAGCCACCATCCTCGTGAACCCTCACTCCGGGAATAGTGAGGTAGACTAAAAAGTCCCGATAAAGAGTTCTAAGGCGATGGACTTTTGCTCGAACCATCAGAGTGGAAAAGTCTTTCTGCATTTGTTCAGATAATTGTCGGGCGAGACGATCCCACAGGGAATTGAAGACATGAGGCCTGTGGATGTCGGGGGTTTCACGGCATGTCCGAAAAAACAATCGGTGGAGGACTTTCTCTTCATGTTCAGTCCACCCCGTCCCTCGATAACGGCTCGCAATTTGATCGACACGTGAGGTCCTGTCCATGTCTCTCTTTTGTAGTAGAGAGGTTGAGGTAAGACAAGTCATTAGTTAACAGTTACTGAAATATGCTAACTCATATATGTTTTCTATGGACAGATGGATTTTACCTTACTGTTGGAGATGAAGATGACTTGCAGTTGGTTTTCCAAGTCTGTCAAACACCTTTGTAACAATGAATAAGCACTATGTAAGAAACGTATTTTAAACTAATGACCCATAATTGTGTTAGGTAGATATCAAGTCCATTAATAAATGAATCCCTTAATGAGTGATTGACCCTTTACTTGCAAAACCATCAAGTGCACTCATTACTCTCACAATCTTCAATAAACCAACTTGAAATTGTAACCATATATGCCTTCTCTTCTAGTCATAACATTGTTTGTGTGTTTTCCCAATTCAGTAACGGATGAAGTGTGTATATATTTTGTATGTCTGTAAGCTTTTAATAAGGTTTTACCTTACTGTTTCTTCAGTTATGAAAAACAAATTGATAAACATGCTTTCGTTAATATAACAATATACTCCATTACATTACATTATATATACGGAAAGAAGATACGGAAAATTACAATATTACATCAAAACATCATCACATAAGAGTAGCGGCAAACAACCGTCATACATGTCTTCTACAGAAGTTAAAATATCTAGATATAAATCTACTTATAAAGCATGAAAAGCATCATCACTATTGAAAGACAAATAATAGTTTTCTTGAGTTTTTTAACAAGTACAATTGCAGCACTGAGCTCCTTCTCCATGTCTTCCAGTTTTGTCAATGCGACCTCAAACCGAAACACTGCTTCACTTTCTTTGATCTTGTATTGCTCAATTTCATGTTCGTACTTATTAACTTTAGCCAACAAACCGGGTATGATATTTTTGGCTCTTGCACAAATTTCTGGGTCCAACCAATTGAAAAAACCGCAAAAAGAAGAAGTCTGCAAAGTATACAAGATGCATTCATTAGTCATTCACAAAAATTCCAAAAAAAAGTAATAACAAAATTAACAATAGAACATTTATCATTAAATCAAACAAAGTGACATCCTTTGCTAAAAAACATATACCCCATATTTAGGGCATGCCATATATCTCCTTCCCGGATTTCTTGAGGTCCAAGAGGTTTTCATATGCAACTTTGTTGGACTTGGACAATTACAATAAATATCCAGGTTATGAACATTGTTATTCCCAGATGTCCAACTGCCATGTGAAGAATTCATGGCTGCACAAAGAAGCAAATCAATGACATGAAGTTTTCGGGCAAAAGACCACAAAGAAAAATTGAACTTTTACAAGCAAAAATAAATGAATAACAAGTGGTTTAACTGTTTGCCTTTGTTTTTTGTCTTCTCTCACAGATTGTTGCATTTGATGTATTTTTGTCTCCGAAAGCAGATACAACCAATTTAGGCGAAAAAAAAAAAATACAATCTAGTCCACAATGGTTCCGAATATGTCACAAAGTCGACACGGGTAAGTGCTTGCTCTTGTTCGCGAATGATTATTGTTCCTTTGAATGACATGGTAACATAAACCCTAAAATCGCTGAACAATCTAATTGGGATTCATAAGTACCTGGAATGGCAAAATCTGATTACAAGCTTCTGCTGTTGGGGCTTCTGTCGTAGCGAAGGTGAGAAGTATGAGGGGAAAATTATATGAATTTTGGTGGTTTTATGCTGCTGAGGTTTGGATTTCGGAAAGGCGAGTCGTTGGGGTATTTTCAAACCCTGGTACAGGACATCGCGTTGACAACGGCTAAAAAACCGAAATCAGTATTAAAAATGTTAAAAAAAATTAACCCGCTTTTATGTGTATTTCAACAGTTGCTACAGAAAAAAAATATGAATCTTTACACAGGACAATGGTGACAAAATGCATAATAAATCATAAATTTACGAAAATTAAAAAACAACTTAATTTATATGTACTTTTTAAAAATTGTATTAACAATACTTTTATGACAACATCTTTAATGATTTATGAATATTTATATATCATTTTATTAATATTTATGTAAATTAAATAATATTTTATTATAATATTTATTAATGTGCAGTAAATATAAAGTTTTCAGAACTGGATCGTCATTGAAATGATCAAGCTATTTTATTAAATCATTTGTGGTTTGTTCAGATTTTAATTTATAAACATTTTAATAGATACATATATATATAGTACTTTTTGTAATAAATTTAAATAAAATGTGTTACTTAGATATCTAAATAATTTATAAATTTAAATGTTTAAACCAATTGATAAATAATTTTTAATCTCTATTTTATTTAAATATATAATTTTATTTAAAATAATTTTAAATATAACAAAATTTATTTAGAAAATCGTATCGATCCTACCAGTCCAACCGACTGGTGTTGACGGATTTGAGAGCAAATATTTTATTCAAGCGAACTAGACTGGTTATAAACTGGTTCTCGGTCCATCCGATCGGACTGTGTCCAACCCAGTTTAATTTAAAAATAATGGATAAATCATGATTAATGTTATTTATATATTTAATTTTATAATACAATCGTAATATTGTTTCCCGTGCATCGCACGGGGCACGCACTAGTAATTACCATATAAGTATTATTTAAAGTTTTAGATTTAAATGCATTCCTAATAAACCTTATTTCCAGTTTATGATAATGATAACAAAAAACATTATTTACCTGCTTTCCAAATACTGAAGTCCATGTTTTTTATAGTGTTACCAAACATTCAATTTCATAATATTTTTCAAGTTCATAAGAACTTGAACACAGATAAGACATAACCCACATATACACATTTCATGCTTCCCACGGTACCAATCACACGCCATGACATACTATATTACCAACAATTACATAGTAACACACATCTATTAATAACAAAAAGCAATGATTCTAATGCATAATAAATAAATGGTCCTCAGTCCATGAAATGAGCAATTCGGACAATAGCTCACAAAACCCACAAAAGTTACTGTCATTGTCAACACCCAACGTACAATACCAAAACGCATTCAAATGCACAAAAGGAAGCATACCCCACCTTAAGATAGCACACAAAACCCACAAAAGTTAATGTCATTGTCAACACCCAACGTACAATACCAATACGCATTCAAATGCACAAAATGAAGCATACCCCACCTTAAGATTTACCATACATATCTTGTAAAATTTGATGCACCATATCGATCTTAGCCTCATCATCATCGAGACTAAAGAAAAGATCAAGCTCCTCATTGTTTTTGCAAAAATACCTAGAGACGGCCACTCTTTGGCTGGTAGTCAAATGAGGTATTTTCGATAGCGCCTCATACACTGCCATACGTTGCTCCTTTGCGGCATGTTGGAAACCGGCTCCTTTAGCCATTTCAGTAAGACGGTCTGCGGCGTTTTCACATAACGAGGACAACAAACCCACAATCTGATCCTCTACTTCGACTCCACGTTTTCTTTTCATTTGGCGTTTTCCCTTGCTCGATGCACTAGTTTCACCAACTTGTGTCGAGGAACACTCCATTGGGATTTGATGTAGAGGATCAAATGAATACGTAGGCACGTCTTGCGGTGTAGTAGGGGGAGGTATTGGCTCTGAGTTGTTGTGTAAGACTCCAGTGACCGCATCCGCAAAACCCATCGCCCCCTCACCAGTTGCCCTATCTTTTCCGAAAACTTCAAGCCAATCAGCATAAAAGGGCCACGACTTGTAACGCATTGTTTTAACCTTTGGTTGAACCTATGAAAATCAAAAATTTATTTCACTGTGAAACACATAAAAGTTACAAAAAGTTACATAATTCAATAAATAACTCNAAATCAACTTTTAAACAATGAATCTCTAACCTTTAGGTAGCAGTCCACACGCCATCATCCCTTACAGTAATCATGTTCCCAGTTTCACTCCATCCAAATCCGGAGGTCGCCATCATACCAGCTATTAAACCATAATTTTTTTTCCAGACAGTTATCTTTGAAGAGATATGAGGTTCTGCCTTAATGTCGGTACCTGGGAAGATTTCATGCATATGTTTTTCCAACACGGCAGTGTAGCCCGATCTAAAACCATTGTCACATTTGAAGCCGCGAGATACAAGTTCCTTTAGGCCGTCCATTAATGCACGTTCTTCCTGACTCGTCCAGGTCCTCCGATGGCCATTTGACTGAGAATTACGACCACCACTAGCAGTGGACTCCATTGAAGAACTGATATGAACACTAGGGAAAAATGTGGTTAATGTTATGTACTGAAAAATCAAAACATAAGCATGCATACTTTAAATATAATAAAGTACAATACATATCATACCTAAAGCATTGCCTAAACTCAAATTTTAATTCATAAAAAGTAAACAATGTCATAACATCCAACAAGCATAACAAATGTTATTGGTACATAAATTGGTGGTTCTACAAAAAGGCAAAACAAACAAGTACAATACAGTCAAATTTACTGCACTGAAACAAATACATAAGACCGTTGAAATGTCATTAGAAAAAAAAGAAGTTTTAGTCAATTTTCACGTTCCCATTCATTAAACATAGATATCGCCATGGCATCCCTCCAATTTGTCCACTCTTGAGTGGGATCTACAACATCTACATACTCATGGGGTTCATGAGCGTTAGAATTTTGGGGGTCATTCACAAAAGAATCTCCTTCAAAATCCATCGGGTCAACATTCATAGAGGATCGAATGTAATTTTGGAGCAAGCAACATGCAAGTATTATTTTATTCTGCGTGTCTATATCGAAAAAGGTTTTGCTCCTAAGGACACCCCACCGCATCTTCAGAACTCCAAATGATCGCTCTATCACATTTCGAGCCCTAGCATGTCTTAAGTTGAACAATTCTCGATAATTTGTAGGGGCTCGATTACCGTCACCAAATTCATCTAAATGATATCTCACACCTCTATAAGGAGCAAGAAATCCAGGCCCATTTGTGTAACCACCATCGCAGAGGTAATAATTTCCTGTTGTCGTAGCACACAAACCAGGAATAATAAACATTAGTTATTATTATTATTTTTATATTTTCAAACAATTAGATTTGTCTTCGTAACAATATAAATTTATAATATCTGTTGAATAAATTTACCAACGGGTACACGCAACCCCCCATTTCTATGCACCGCATCCCGTAGTACACGACTGTCTGCCGCGGATCCTTCCCAACCCGTTAGTACGTACGAGTAATTCATTTCTCGATTGCATACTCCAAGAACATTTACAGAAACAAAACTTTTTCGATTCCGATACCGAGGGTGTAGGTGTGAAGGGACACGGACAGGTATATATGTGCCATCAAGTGCTCCTAAGCATCCCTGTGCACGAGGTAAACTGAAATATTAACCAACCATTTCATTTAGAATATGAAATGAAAAACAAAAATTAGAGATTATTATAACGTCACCTTAAACCATTTCCATCTCCAGTCATTACACGAATCATCCACAGGGCTTGGTTCTATAATAAGTATCGGGTAGAGTCGAAGTACAGCCTCAAGTACAATGTGGAACAATTTGCTAATTGTTTCTCCCGACCTTTTAAAATCAAACTTCACGACTACATTTTTTTTATGGTGGGCTAACACACTCAAAAATATTGCAACCTGTTCACTTATTTGAATGTTTTTTTCTGTTTTTTAGTCTTCCGACGTGCTCCAATAAAAAGCATAACCTACCAAAGGCATTACGGTCCATTCGAAGTTGTTGAACACAAGTTTCGTCACTTATATCTATTAAATGCTTCATGTGCTCTATTTGGCTTGGAAGCCTATCGGCCATTCGGTAACGTTTTGCATTAGACCAAACCCTAATTCTACGTCGATTCTTGGGATAGACTACCAATTTTAAATAAATGTACGCAAACAAAAAAACGATCTTCATAACATTCAATATTTCTTCCACGACCAAAACTGCCTCCGCCTCGTGGGTTTCGAAGTTCATCCTTACTTCGGTAATCTAAGCAATGTTTCAGCATTTATGAGAATGGAATGCAAACAATTCAATGCATACCAGAGTGTAAGAACAGTGACCCAATCAAACAATTATTAATAGATGCAATTTATTCCAACACTAGAAGTGCACATGTAAATAGGTAATAAACATGAAAAGCCATCGCTCCATGCTAGATACACAATATAATATTTAAGGACTTATTTGGCCTAAGTTACAATAAAAACCATATTAAATGGAGACCATAATAATTAACAAGGCCAGAATTTGTGGAATTTAAAAATTTTAAGTTCATTTCACTATGGCTGAAACATGAACACACATACATTACATGTTATATTAAATATACACAGATATTTGGTTTCTGGTTATGATGAACAAAAAATGACTATAATCTTCACAACAAACGTCCTAAAAAAAATTATTCATTAATGCCTACACAAGAACTTACTAACAGATCTTTTTGTAAACAAATTCCTCAATGTCACCACAAAGCAGACTTGTATTCAATTTTTCAAATAACAGAGTTTAACCCTACTTAACATTATGCCATAATTTCCACTATTTTATTCACACAATGGTATTGGCAATGAAATTCCAATTAATAAAAACAGAGCGCGGTCAAATTTATACTATCTCAGGAGTTTCACATTTTAGGAAAAGAACTCACACAAGTAGGTTTGAAAAACATAAATTCATCGAAAGGGGGTGAAACGGATCGTACCAAAGTCGTTGAGGCTCCAACTGTTGTTACAGATCCAATGCCCTACAACATCCGTTGTTCTGAAATTGTGTGTATCGGCCAAAATAATGGAAAGCAATTGTGGGTTAGGGTTGGTTAAAACAAGTATAAACCCAAAAAGTAAAAAACATTGCGTCGAGCATACCCACAACATACAGATCTGACAGAAAAAAAAGGGAAGAAAAATAATATCGAAAACCAAAACGGAATCGGACGGAAGGGACGAGAGCATACCCAGATATTCGCGTTCGCAGAGAGAGAGAGAGTAGGGAGGAGAGTTGTGTCGGTGATTGTCTTTTTTAAATGCTTTTCAGGGTTAATTGGTAATTTTATCATTTACATACTGTGCAGATGCATTTAAACATGGGGTAGGAGAGGAGATTAATTAATCTTCCATACTCGAGATTAGACCCATTTTATCGCGGGCCGGACCTAAAATTGCGGGCTACTATCATATGCAACAAACACATGATAAACCAAGATAACTGGGCTTATCTTACCTAATCTCCCCAACCAAATGTGCCCTGATATTAATCCCAAAGAATGTTTTATCATATTAATTTAAATTGGTACTTCTAAAAAAAATGCATCTTATATTATACAATTTTCTTTATGTTAAATTTTGCAAATATTCATAATTTGCAAGTGCATTTATCATATAAACATGCATATTTGCCGATGAGATGCAATAAAGTTTGTAAATTATAAATACTCATGATCATGAGCTATATTTTTACCAAATAAAAATAGTATTTTCAATTTCAAAAGTCAAAATACATGCTCAAGTTGTATATTTCATTTTTTCAGGAAAAAAAAAAATAATAATAATAATAACATTTACAGTTTGTTCTTCCAACGCCCACTCAATAAACTTTGACTCGCCTCCTCCATCTCACTCCCACCCGATCGCAGTCATCATTCACCGTCACCGGCCGTCATGCTGCCGCCGGAGCTCCAGTCTCGGGCCTTCCGCCCTCACATCTCCTCCTCCGCCAGCGCTCCCTCTTTTCCCACCACATCCTCTTCCTACAACGGCGACCAAAACCCTAACCGCAGCCCTAGTCCCACCACATCCTCTTACTATGGCGGACCCGCCGCCAGTAGAAGCCGCCGTTCCAGCTCATCCATGAAGAATTCGAGGCTAACCCCTTCTTCATTCATCCACAACGCCAGAATCGCTGTCGCGCTTGTCCCTGTTGCCGTCTTCCTCCTTGATCTCGGCGGCGCGCCCGTAGTCGCCGCCCTCATCGTGGGCCTCATGGTTGCTTATATCCTCGACTCTCTTAACTTCAAATCCGGCTCCTTCTTCGCCGTCTGGTTTTCCCTCATCGTGGCACAGTTGATCTTCTTTTTCAGCTCATCTCTTCATCATACCTTCAGTTACATCTCACTCACCGTCCTTGCTGATTTCACTTGTGCACTGACGAATTTCTTGATTGGAGTTTGGGTTTCGCTTCAGTTCAAATGGATGCAAATCGAATATCCCACCATTGTACTTGCGCTTGAACGCATCTTGTTCGCCTGTGTACCCCTCATTGCATCCGCGCTTTTTACCTGGGCAACTGTCTCTGCAGTGGGTATGAACAACGCTGCTTACTATCTCATTGTTTTTAATTGCATTTTCTATTGGCTGTACTCAATTCCCCGTGTATCATCGTTTAAGCTGAAGCATGAAGTGGGTTACCATGGAGGTGAGGTACCAGAGGATAGTTTCATCCTAGGGCATCTGGAGAGTTGTGTGCACACCCTAAATCTTATATTCTTTCCTTTGTCATTCCATGTTGGGTCTCACTATTCGGTGATGTTTTCATCTAGCGCTGCTATTTGTGATTTGCTCCTCCTTTTCTGCATTCCCTTTCTGTTTCAACTTTATGCGTCTACCAAGGGAGCTCTGTGGTGGGTCACTAAGAATGAGCACCAGCTGCAGAAAATCCGGCTTCTAAATGGTGCCTTGACATTGGTAGCAGTCGTTGTTTGCCTGGAGGTTAGAGTTGTGTTCCTTTCATTTGGACGTTACATTCATGTTCCACCACCTCTGAATTACCTGCTTGTCTCCATTACAATGCTTGGAGGTGCATCCGCTGCCGGTGCCTATGCCCTTGGTATGGTTTCTGATGCATTCAGTTCTTTGGTCTTCACTGCTTTGGCCATCATTGTCAGTGCTGCTGGGGCGATTGTTGTCGGGTTTCCCATTCTGGTATTTTTTCTTCAAATGCAACTGTTTATAAAATGAATCTTTAGTTTGTCCTGTAATGTAGTTATCAACTAAATTCTAATAGCTTCTGGCTTTGACTGCAGTTCCTCGAGCTTCTTTGATGTTGCATGTCTCTATGTCTAGCGTTGTTCATGTCAACTTATTCGTTGACAATATAGTATGTGTTTTACATGCCTTTTCTTGTAACTCTTAATTTTGTGGATTGTTTTTGAGTTGTCTTTCAGCTTTCTGCTTATGAGGCAGTGTGACATCACTCAATGTTTAATTGAGGACTAACTGTTGTGGTCAATGATTGAATACTTCTTGTATTGCTTAGCCATTTTTGGAAACTTGACTTAGATATGAAAAGGTGAAACATACTTGGCTGAAAAACTGAGGATCTAGTGATTTCATGCCAGCCTATGTTAAAATTTTGAAGACGTTCCTTTCAAGTGATGGAGATTCGTTAAAATTTTGAAGATGTTCCTTTTAAGTGATGGAGATTCTCATTGTAAGTGCATATTGTTAGCATTTCCTGGAGATCACTACTCATGGGTCATATATACTCATCAGTGCAGAGTTGTTGAACAGAAAGAATAAATATTGGCTTATATATTTACCGATATAATTTTGATTTAAAAAAAACATAACATAATGCAGTTGATAATTATAACATGGGTGTACAAATATTAGAAGTAGACGCTCGTGCTCATGTTTAATATTTAGGGTATGCTCATTCAGATTTTTCCAAAACCTAGGTGGATAACATTAGAGTATTGGGAGTCCCAGTCTAAACACCATTTATAACTCTTTTGGACTCTACGGTCTCCACTACATGTTCGTCTGTTCTTCGATCTAAATTATTGTTATTTTGGTTTTGGTGAAAATATTCCCATCTAACTTTTGTAATATGTACATTTGGTTTGACTCACACAATTTCGTGTGAAGTTGTAGATAAAAGAGGAGTAGTTTGATATATCATACATCTGAATATGTTAGTTGTGAAGAGTCAGAGTTTTGCATGTAATGAACATACATTATTTCAAAAGCTACATTAACATATATTTTTTAATAAATAATATCGAATTAGAAAAGGACTTCATTGTGCAACATAACTCTGCCGTCCAAGCCCTGAAACTTGACAAATCTTAAAGTATGTGCCCAAGAAGACCCTTGTTTTTCATAGACGGTTTCTTGTATGTTATATTAGTTGCCACCCATGTGTTCCTGTTGCTAAGTACTTTTGAAACAGTTGATCAGTAGGTAAAACAATTTTTATGGATCACTCTTGTTAGCTACTAAGTTAGTTTCATAGTTACTTACAGAAAACAAGACCCACTGATACATTATTCTATCCATCATTTGTTGAATTGTAAGCTATACAACATACCTTTGAAAATGTCTGTTCCTCATTTTGCAGTTCATTCCCCTACCGTCAGTAGCTGGGTATTACTTGGCTCGTTTTTTCACAAAGAAGAGTTTGTCTTCATACACTGCATTTGTTGTGCTAGGGAGCTTGATGGCTGCGTGGTTCGTGATGCATAACTATTGGGACCTTAATATTTGGATAGCAGGCATGTCACTGAAATCCTTCTGTAAGCTTATAGTTGGCAGTGTAATCCTTGCAATGTCTGTGCCCGGTTTAGCTGTTCTTCCACCACAGTTCCGTTTCCTGACCGAAGCTGGATTAATCAGTCACGCGCTGTTGCTGTGCTATATCGAAAATAATTTTTTCAACTACTCGAATGTGTACTTCTATGGGATGGATGATGATGTGATGTATCCTAGTTATATGGTTGTCATGACTACTTTTGTGGGTTTGGCCATTGTAAGGAGGCTTTCTGTGGATCAGAGGGTTGGATCCAAGGCAGTTTGGGTTCTGACATGTCTGTATTCCTCAAAGCTCTCTATGCTTTTTATGGCGTCAAAGGCTGTGTTGTGGGTCTCAGCAGTTCTGTTGTTGGCAGTCTCTCCTCCTTTGTTGCTTTATAAGTACTGGCAGAACTTTTTTTTCTTGTTTTATGTATATAAAAAGTTTTTCCTTTCACTGGAAATTTATTTCTTGCATTACCTTGTAGGGATAAACTTAAATCAGCATCAAAGATGAAGCCATGGCAAGGTTATGCACATGCTGTTGTTGTTGCTTTGTCTGTGTGGTTTTGCCGTGAAACTATCTTTGAAGCCCTTCAGTGGTGGAATGGGAGGTCTCCTTCTGATGGTTTGCTTTTGGGCTCTTGCATCCTGTTGACTGCATTGGGTTGTGTGCCAATCGTTGCACTGCACTTTTCACATGTCATGGTACCATTCCTTAATTTTCTCTCGATTTGTATGCTTCTTACGTGATGAAATTAGAATCATGCTAATAATAACTTATACTTGCCTCTCAAACATCTTCCAATTTGCTTGCCTGCTCTACTCACCCGACAACCCCTTTCAAGTTATCCTTTTGGAATTGTTAGAGCATTTTCGGATATCAAATTTTATCTGCCAAATGATAGGAGTTAAGCAAAAATATCGATAAATTTACATAAATCCACGTGGCCTGACCGATGTTAATGCCCGGCAATTTCAAGAGAACTTGCTTCTGCAAATTGCATCATCTACGTGTACTTTATCAAATAGACTATTTCTCTCCTTCCAAATAGCTGAACACATATATTTTTCTTTTTTAAATTTTTTTTGGCAGTCGGCTAAGAGACACTTGGTGTTAGTTGTGGCAACTGGTCTATTGCTGATTATGATGCAGCCACCAATGCCAGTGACATTAACGTACCATTCCGATTTAATCAGATTGGCCCGTCAATCGGCAGACGACATATCTATTTACGGCTTCATGGCCGCAAAACCCACATGGCCATCATGGCTGCTCATTCTATCCAGCCTCGTAACTCTCGCTGGCGTCACTTCCATCATCCCCATCAAATACATAGTCGAGCTCCGCACATTTTACGCAATCGCCCTTGGTTTCGCCCTCGGTGTCTACATTTCCGCCGAGTACTTCCTTCAGTCGGCCATTCTCCACGCCCTCATCATACTCACCATGATCTGCACTTCCGTTTTCGTCGTTTTCACCCATTTACCCTCTGCCTCGAGCACAAAGCTTCTCCCTTGGGTCTTCGCACTAATCGTGGCGCTCTTCCCAGTCACATACTTGCTTGAGGGCCAGATCAGAATCAACAAAACATCGGTTGATGACGTGGCGGACGAAAACAGTCGCCAGCTGGCGACATTGCTGGCGATAGAGGGAGCTCGAACTTCTCTCCTCGGCCTTTATGCAGCCATTTTCATGCTAATCGCGCTCGAGATCAAGTTCGAGCTGGCTTCCCTCGTTCGCGATTCGTCGTCCTCGTCATCGTCGGGCGGCCGCTGCCAGCCTGGCGCCCCCTCGGCCGCCGTTCCTCCGAGGCTGAGATTCATGAAGCAGCGGCAGGCTTTGGCCGGGCCTCTGGCCAGTTTTACGATCAAGAGGATTTCGAACGAGGGGGCGTGGATGCCAGCTGTCGGCAATGTGGCTACTGTTATGTGCTTCGCGATATGCCTCGTTCTCAACACGCATTTAACCGGGGGATCTAACCGAGCGATCTTTTTCCTGGCTCCGATCCTTCTTTTGCTGAACCAGGATTTGGATTTTTTCGCCGGATTTGGGGATAAGCAGAGGTATTTTCCGGTGACGGTGGCTATTTCCGGTTATTTGGTGATAACGGCGATTTACAGCGTTTGGGAGGACGTGTGGCACGGGAATGTCGGGTGGGGGGTTGATATTGGGGGGCCTGATTGGGTGTTTGTGGTTAAGAATTTGGCTCTCCTTATGCTTACTTTTCCCAGCCATATTCTGTTCAATCGGTTTGTTTGGAGCTACACGAAGCAGGTTGACTCGAGGCCTTTGCTGTCTCTGCCGCTCAATCTTCCCTCGGTAATCATGACTGATATAATCAAGGTGAAGGTTTTGGGGCTGCTTGGAGTTATATACTCCTTGGCACAGTATCTGATTTCCAGACAGCAGTATCTCTCAGGTTTGAAGTATATTTAGGGGATTTTGAGATATGGAAATTATGGAGGCTAAAAGTTGTTGACCATTTTTCGTGAAAGGCTGACTTGGTGTTGTGCTGTTTTAAATATTCCAAAAGTTTGAAAAAAAAAAAACAACAATTTATAGTTGCGTGCTTCTTCTTGGTCGTATTGCTTATATTTCGAATTAGCTTAGCCTACAGATGATCGACGAAGAAAAGAGAATTTCATTTATGCGCTGAGAACAGCGTAAAAGATTTCGAATTATACTCGAATGGTTCATGGTGTCATTTGCAATTTTTTTTTTCTTTGGTTTACCGCTGTTTTTTACACTTGAGTGTCGTTTAAGTTAGACATGCAAATCGAAGGAACAAAAGAACTACAGCATCTTAAATAGAAGCCGGCAATTACTTTAGAGTAAGCTATTTCAAAAATACTTGTGCTGAAAAAACGTAACATGTAGAGACCACCCATAAATGTATACACTAGACAAATGTAAAGGCAGCATTGCAACAATTTGAGTTCAAGATTTACGATTACGTTACACAATGTGTGGTATTACAAATTATACACAGGTATTGCCAGGGCCTTTGTCGCCAATTACCAACAAGGGGGAAAAAGACTAAAGAAAAATATATCGCATTTGAGTAACTAATTTAGCTCCTTCCATTTGGGACAATCTTAAGGAGCTCAATATCAAACAAGAGAGTTTTATCAATCAACCCTTGATTCCTCAATACAAAATCCAGTGCTCTTTGACCCTGCCATATGATGGGATTGTATAACATCACTTAAACAATGACAATGAATTCAAATGTAAAGTCACAAAAGAAACATTGGCGAATAAAAGCAGTACCGAAAATGTTGTTGGCCTTGGACCTTTCCTGTTGAAATCATTCTCAGGATATCCGAGTTCTGGGGGGACAATTATCCTGGAAAATAGCACAGATTAAGTACCATGCACATTCTAACTGCTAGGTCATATGTGCATTGCCTCATATAAAAGAGACCTTAAGGAACTTCACTTCCACCTATAGGGAAGCTTCCGGATAAACAAAGAAAGAAAAAATGCCATAGAAAATTGTATGGTAGCAGGCTTTAGGAAAAAAAAAAAAA